ATCAGGGAGCCATGCTGGTAGTGGGTTTTCTCCTACGTGACTTCAACTTGCCTCTTTCCACTCAACCTGTCCTGTGCCTTTATCTCTGGCTCCTACTGTGCCTTCAGGGAACATCTGTTTTATTTTCCCCCATTTATTCTCACAATTATTATTATCATTTGGTCCAGTAATTTGCAATTCCCTTTATCTTCTTCAAGGACTGGCTCTCTCCAGAACCTAATCGCTACTTATCAGAACATCTTTGGGGGCTGGGAGCAGGGTACCAGATTTCTCTCTCTCTCTCTCTCTCTCTCTCTCTCTCTCTCTCTCTCTCTCTCTCTCTCTCCATCCCTCCCTCAAATGGCCAGGAACCCTTTATACTGCAAGCTACTGGGAAGAACTTTTATTCCCACTCACCCCCTCTTTTTTTCTGGATTAGATTATGCCTCTTTTATGAAGACCCAGAGGGAAATGGGACTATTAAGGGTCTTGCTGGGTAAAAGCTATTTGTTTTTCTGATGACTCTTTTTTTTTAGTTCAGTTGCTGAGGGGACTTGATGCCAGAGGAGAAGTTATTACAAATTTGAAAGAGTGCCTTAAACACAGCCTTCCCTGCTGAGCACACTTTCAGTCAGGAGGGATGGAAAGGGGTGGGGGAGGGGAGGAACAGAAAGAAAAAAAAAGACAGATTTAAAGGGGGAGGGAAAGAGAGAACATGGAAAATAGAATACGGAGGAAAAGGATGCAAAGAGGAGACATCCCTTTGCTGACACGAGATCCAGCGGGAGGGACCGCCCTGTGAAGAACTAACTTTGGGAAGGAGAGAAGCTGGTGCTTACAAAACCCAGACAAAGGTTTAGTGAGAGAGCCGCTGAGCATGAATCAATCTTATAAAAATAAAACAAACTTCCCACAGTTGTTGGAGAGTGCTTTGTGTGAGCATGAGATGGTTAGCCCCACCGGAGCTGTCTCCAAGACGGAATGAGGTCAGAATAGGTTCATCAAGCATCCAGTCTAAGTGATGTCAATGCCGCACAGCCATCCTGAGTAGGGACTGTTACCAAACACACCCTTTACAGATCAGGAAACTGAGGCACAAGGTGATCCAGTGCTCTGGTGGCACAGAGTACTTAGAATACAGGGCTGGCAACTGGCTGAGCTGGACTGTAAACCTGGACGTCATGGTGGCTCCCAATTATTGAGACAGACGCCAAGCAATCCAACGCCAGTGCTCTCAAGCTCCAGTGATACTTACGGGTGGCACTTAGGGAAAGATAAATATTTTGCCCCCATTCAATACTCTTTTTCTCTGCCCATGGCAGTGACTGGCCAGTGTGGACAATGAGGGATGTGTTCAAGGCTGGGTGTGAGCAGCCTGGAGAACTAACACCTTCTCCATTGCCCACACGCAGGCTCCCTGTGATGCTGCAGGGTGCTTTTTCCTGTATTCTGGAAGCTCTGCGTGGGGTGTGGGGGAGGGTGGTAGGATGCTCAGGTCTGCAGTCACGTTTCACAGCATCACAGATTTTTTTTTTTTGTCAACACCCATTCCTTCCTTTTCTTCTCCAGCCTGCAGCAGCTTCTCTGTCCCAACTGCCACGTTGTTATTGTTCTACCGGAGAGAAGCAGCATTTTCAGAAATGGGGGATTTATTTTTATAGCACAGCTGGTCTGCCAAAGGTCACATAATTTGGCAACATTCCCAGTGGTTAAAAATTAATTTCTCCTTATTAATACAACCCAGGTCCCATAGGATAGAGGCTCAGTCTTATCTAAACTTGACAGCTTCCTAAACCTTTAGAAGCTTTCTCCTGGGCCAGCCACGGGACAAGGCCAGTGTGTCCTGGAATCCAACCCCACTAAACCTGGCTCGGGAACGAAACCGTTAAATATTGGGCCCTTTCTCTATAAGGCAGATAGATAGTCTTGAGAAATGCAATAGGACCCCAGAGTTGGGGGGGAGAGGGGTATGGGACACACACAACTTCTGTGGTGTCTTCCAGAAACGGGTTAATCATCCTCTTCCAAAGCTAGCAGTAAGTAAATCCTTTCCTGGAAGGAATAGGACAATGGCTAACTCCTGGGGCTCAAAAAAACACATCTGCCGTTCGAGGTGGATACCTCATCTGGCAAGTGATGGCCAGATGATAAAATACCTCAAATATGTTCATACCGCCATGAACTCCGGCTCCAAGGTCACTTTTTAGGACTCCTTCGTTCAAGGAATTTCAAATGTGTTATGCTTGTCAAAGACAAAATAACAGTAAATTTGGGTCTGGGTAAATTGGCTTTCCTATTTGATTCATAATCTGGCAACTTGTCAGTCTTTAGAAGGAGCAAGGCTTCTATCAGCCAAGCAGGGGTGGGTGCAGGTGTTTTATAGAGAAGATGACCGAGGAAACAAGGACTGGCCAGTTATTCTCCTTACCAGGATAAGGCAAAGGGGACTTCAAATCCAACTGATTCAGATAACAAAGCCTCCTTCTCATTGGTTGCTGGGACTCTGCCGTCTTGTTTTTATTTTTAAATCGGCCCAGTTCAGAGTTCAGTTGGAAACATGGCCAGGATTTAGCACAAGGGCTTCCAATTGGATTTGGTCTCATCTGCTGGCTGGTGACAAGAGCCAATCAGAGACAATGCCCATCCATTTTACTTAGCATGCTTCGTGCTTTCTACAAAGGAAACAATCTCACCTTCATATCTTTCCAAACTGGATCTTTGGGGAACATGTCCTGAAAACTGCCAGTGAGCCTGGCTCTGGAATTCTGTCAACTCAGAAATGTTCCACACTTGGTCAGTTTATTCTTTTAATTGCTTGAATGAAGAGTTGAACGAGATGGAAAACACCTGGGACCTCAGCTCCCCCCCCCCCCCCCCCCCACTGCCTCCCTCTCCTCAATAACTGTTGCTTGCACTCACGCCTCATTGCGTAGGAACTGGTCTTTGCACTCTTCACTGTTCCTAGACCTCGAAGGTGGAACCTGAAGAATGCCCATCCATTGAACAGCAGGGGGCTGGAGCCATTTGGTAGACCGCAGGGGTCCGGTCGGGAGAGCCCAGCCTCCAGGCCCTGCAGCTTTCCAATCTCACACTTGGCCAGCCTAGTGCTCGGAGGGCTCCGTGGGATGACATAAAACCCCACACTGGAGGCGCTGCTGGGCACTCACTCTTCTCCCTGGTGCATCCTGGACAAGTAAGGGCTCGCCTAAAGCCCTGTGGGGCGCTCTCCTCTGTTTTATACTGTGTACTCAGTTGGCAACTGGTTACAGCCTCATCGCCTCCAACGCTAGCTTCTGGGGAAAAGGTGACGAGGCACTTACTTAATGAGGGCAGGAGACCAGTCCCCGGAGCTCTGAGTAGGCTGGCTGTTTGGAATCCGGGAGTTTACAGTTTTACTTGTAAATGATTATCCCCATCCGCGGCCATGGAACATTTTGGGGGAGACAGTCTGAAACACTCCTCAACCCCCCTATCAAGTCCTTGGACTATCACTGCTGCTCTTAGCGGATCTGTTTGACCTCGGACCCTGTCTCCCACAGCCAATTTACACCTCTTATCTGATCACCCAGCTCAGACTGAAGGTTGAATTGACCGAGTCAGTCCGTGTCCATGGCAATGGTGTTAAAGGCCACCACAGATCAAAGCTCTCCTGGAGTAAGAAGGAAGGGGGAGATGCTTATGGGGGATCTGGCTTCTTTTGGCCCCAAGCCATGGGTCTCGTGGGGGCTGGGGGAGGGGGCCGTAGACAGTAAGCCTGGGAGTTGCCACCTTCTGAAAAACCCACGGCAGGAACCGGAGCGATTTCCTGGGTAGAATGCAGCAAGCCCCAGCGGATCCATTCTAATACAGCAGTTTACTGGCCTGGCGCTGCTGGAAACGGCTAGCGCCAGGGGGCTCTCCTCTCTGTCAGAAACTGAAAAGAAAGGAGGCAGAGGGAGCGAGCTAAGCAGGGAGTCCACGCCAGTAAACCCGAGCGTCCACTCCCTTCCCTTCCAGAAGAAATTCAACCGGAGCCGCAGAAGCTGCGGCAGGGATGGAAGGATCGGTTAAGAGATCTGGAAAGCTGATTCCACTGCGCCCCCCCTCCGGCCCCCCAGCCCCCGGAGATCTCCAGAGTGTCGCTCAATCCGTTCCACGCCCCCTCACACACGCAACGCCCACCTTAGGACAGTCGGTCGACTTGTGCCCTCCACCCTGATGCTGCCCTAGGGGCTGGCTGGTGGGACATTCTAGCCACGCAGCCGCCAGTCCGAGGCGAAGGGTGGGGGCAGCCGTTTAATCACAGCGCGCCTCGCCTCCGTTAACTTGTGTTGATATTAAAAAGAAATCAATCAGGGAAACTAAAGCATCGGTCGTGAACGCTGTATTTTTTTTTCCCACGTGGACACGGGCTGCCAGGAAAGGGAAGGGGGGAGGCGTGCAACCCGCCAGCAGGTAACTGCAGTGGCTGCTCTGGAGGACAGCCGCAGCCACGACCTAACTTTCTGGCATGGGCGGCATCAGGGAAATGCCGCAGGCTTCTACCCGGGGGTGTCCTTACTCGGGAGGAGGAGGAGGAGGGGACCGGCCTGGAGAAGTCCTAGGCGGCCGATTTAGTACAGGCTGCAGCCTTGGTTCTGCTTTTGCTGGAAATATTTTTTGCCTAATAGAATGTTTATGGATTGCTCAGCTCTGTTTCTGCTGCGTAGCCCAAACAAATCGATGCGGCGGTAGGGACCGCTCTGGGGGATGGGGTGGTGGGGGGTGGAGGTGGGAGCGCTGGGGGGCGCCCATGTCTCGGCCACGTGGATGCCCGCGCCGCGTGCTCTTCACCTGTTCCTGCGCTCAGGCGGACGCTAGCCGCACTGTGCTCCCGCAGGCCGGGCAAGTGGCGCGCATTCCTGCGGCTTAGGCTGCCTAGCTGCTTCCCGCCTCTCTCCGCCCTCGGTGCTGCAATCCCATCCGGGCTTCCTGCCTCCCCGGCCTGGCTAGCGCCGGGATCTTTCGGCCTCAGGCCCCCCAGCCTCTCTACCAGCCGGTTCTCCAGGGGCTGCGGCGAGCTTGCAGAGCCTAGTGCAGCGTGGGGGGCAGGAGGGGGCGCTCCGAGCTGGCCCAGCCCAGCTGCCCAGAGTTCGCCAGCCCCGGGCGGGAGGCTACGTACGCGCCTGGGAGCCGGATGCATAGTGCCCACATCGCCTTCCAGCGGCCAGGGACCGCCCGGGTATTTGCTCAGTTGCCCCCCACGTGTGCCCGCCACCTTCTTTCCCGGCTTCCTTCTCGGAATAGGTTCCCGCTGCCGCCGTAGTGCCGGGACCAACCCACCTCCTGGCGGGCGCACATGGGGTGAGTCAGAGGTCTAGCTTGGCCTCGCCCTTAGCCACCCGGGCTAGGTCTCTGGGTACCAATCAGTTGCTCGATTGAAACCGTGACCGGCGATCGATCGCCTTTTTGGGGACTCGGATAATATCTACTCTGGGCGGGTCCCACCCCCGGGTCCGAGATTGCCCGCCGGCTTAGGGGGTGACCTGCTTCGCACTCCGCGCTTTAGAGCTTCTCTGGAAGTGACGCAGCGAGACCAGGGATTGGGATGGGAGGGGGCTCTGCAGAGAGCGCGGGGAGGCAGGTGGCAGAGCAGGAGTGGGTCCGAGCGGGTGTCGTACACACACACACGTACGTACACATACTCCACGCGGCGCTCAGGGACAGATGTGCGAACATCTGGGATAGGAGATGGTCCCCGAGTCTTCACAGTCCCTTTCGCTCCGCACATCACTGAGAGCCTGAAGTTGTTATGCGTGGTGTGTGTGTCCGTGGGCGCGCACTCGCGCACCCGGGCCTACCGGAGTCCGCTCCTGAATACATAATACACCGTGGGCATTCTCAAGGAGCGCGCGTGTGTGCGCGCACGCACAGACATATATATATATATATATATACACACATACCCAGCAAACCACACACATACATAATTTACGCAGCATTCAGGTTCGTGGGAGGTAATTTAATTTCAATTCAAGCTGGGAATTCAGAATTAAGGGAGGACCGAATGCGAGGCCCAGAAATTTTCCCCAGGACGGACCTGCACCCATGCTTTAGCTCATGCTTACAGCTGCCTGTAGGACCAGTTACCGCAGAGAAGGAGCCGGAAAGGCTTGGATTTGAGTCTCAAAGGCTACCCCCCCCCCCAAACCCCTCAAAAGACAGCAGAAATAAAACCCATACATCTCCCACATAAGTGGCTGTAGGTGTGTGTTGGGGAAGGGACAAGAAGCTTGGCAGACACTAAGCTTTCTCCTCAGGACCGGCTAAGCACGGTGCGGGGATGCCAGGGTGGCTGTAGGGAGCGAGTCCCATCACTGCGGCTGGCTGTCACCTCCCAAGCACCTCGAGGTAAAAGCACTTCTCTGAGTTTTTGTCTTTCCCTCCCTTTCTCCCCTCACCATTTCCTTGGTCGATGGAATCCCATTCACTATCACCTGTAGCAGCAACTGCAAGAGTTTCATCAGGTTCCAGACACTGTCTCCGAGCGGAGAAAAGCATCCCCTCCCAACACACACACACACACACCCCGGAGCAATTCCAGGGAGGAAGAACCGCATTCCCTGAGACCAGAGACCTGCTTTCAGGGGAGGTATCCCTGGCCGGCACTCCACAAAGGCCGGCCCTGGACTATCCTAGGCCCAACTCTGCTTGCTTATCTCTACAGCCTGTGTCCACACACCCTTCTGGGCAGTGCTTGAGACTACATTCCACTCAAAAGTTTCTAACCACTTCACAAGACCGAGAGACCTTCCAGGGGCATGCAGTTTCTTTTTATCTTTTAGTACATTTTTTTTTTTAGAGAACATGATTTGCTTTCCCAGAAAACACATGGATTCAGGATAGAGTGGGGGCTACCACGGGAAAAGCCCATCTGAGCCACACACTAACTTGCTCCACTAGCTTCATGAAGCCCTCGGATCCTGGGATGTACCCACCCATTCTGCCAAGAATCCACGCATCTGAAAACCAAAGCTAGACTCTTGCTTTTTTTTTCCCCTCAAGCCCTTCTTCAGCTAACATTGCTCCATGTAGCTAAGTAGAGGGAATGCAAATGATTTATATTTCCCTGGCTAGGTTGAAGAAACTCAAGGGAGATGTGTTCTGCTTCAAGACAGGAAAGAAAAAAAATCCCCAAAACTGTAATGCAAAGGCTTTGTAGTATTTTTAAACCTTTGATTCAGTCCATATGTGACATCTGAACACCGCCAAATTCTGTTACAAAACACACACACACACACACACACACACACACACACACACACACACACTCCTAGCAAGAGAGAAAAGTTGGGTTTAGCAGCCCTGGTGGTGTAAAGAGGGTCGGCTGAGTTCTCCCTTTAAATTATTGAGTATTGAGGGAGCCTCCTCCTGAGCGGGTTTTGCGTGGCCTCTCTGCGTTAGCAGTCGCCTTTAAAGGAGGGGGAGAAACATGTAAAAAATAATAGAAAAACTTTGAGGGGGCTTACCTGGTTGGCTTCTCACTTTGTGTCCTGAAAAGTACAGAGCTAAGAAAACCCAGGTAAGAGGGAACATATCCATTTTTGAAAGAGAGGCTTTCTCCAGGGCTAGGCTTGTGGAATCTCGTATAATTATGTCTTTGTGTTTTTCCTCTCTCTAATTTTCTTCCTTGTGGTGTCTTCTGTAAAGGTCTCTAATGGCCAGCGTTTCCCTCCTGGGTCCTGGTGGCCCGTCTGTCTTCACCTTTAATTCTTGCTGGAATCCCCACCTCACTAGGAGATAGCTTCTGGAATCAGCAAAGAGGGAGCAAGCTGGGGTAAGCGGGGGACCGGTTTTCTCTTCAAACCCAAACGCGTGTATGTTCTCTCCAGTTCCTCAAAGTGTCATTTCCTTTATCCTACAACATCACGAGGGTTTCCCGAAAGCCAAGCGTAAAATAATAGTAATGATAATAATAATCAAAGCCAAGACTTGCCCTGGGCATTACACGGCCCCTAGGCAGCTGTGTGATCTCAGAGGCGCAAACTGACACAGGTCCCCCACCGGCGGCACCCGGGACACACACGCGGGCAGAGACACCGACCGCTGGACAGGCGGAGTGGGAGGCAGCCAGCCTCCGGGCTCTTGTCCTCGCCGGGTTCCCTCAGCGGGAGCCTCCCCCGGCGGCTACACCCGCTTGGCCAGTCTCTCGAGGGGAGCGCGAGGCAGGAAGCGGCGGCTGCCGGGGCTGCTGCTGGTGCTGCTGCGGGTGCGGCGGCGGCGGCGGCGGCGGCGGCGGCTGGGATCGCCCGCGAGTGTGCGAGCGGCTCTCCGAGTTCGCTGGCGCCCGCCCTCACCTCCACCTCGCCCAGCGGCCGGCCGAGTGTCTGCGCTTCTGAGGATGTGCCGGGGGCGGGCTGCGGGCTGATGCCTCGCTCGCCTCCTCTGCCTCCCCTCCGGCTCCCCCCTCGCCTTTTCAGGCCGAGCAGCATGTGGATGTCAGAGCCGCGGCAGAGCGATCCGATTACGCGCCGGCTCAGGGCCCGCCCCTTCTGTGTTCCTGATTAAAGAGGCAGCGGCGGAGACGCGCGGCGCAGAGCCCAGGGCCGCGGCACCCAGCTCGGGCGGGGCGCTGGGGGCTCACCACCCCGCGGCCGCGCGATCAAAGTTAAGGTGCCTCGCACCCCGCCGCCCCTCTGCCAGCCCCGCACCTCCCTCCCGCCCTGCGCACCTCGGTGCGGGGCTGCGGGTGTGTCACACCCCGAGGATGGAGCGCCCTCCCTTCAGGGCGCGCTGCCCCTGCCGGGAGGAAAACTCCGCGGAGCTCGGGAAATGCTTGTTCCCCCCCCCCCGCTAAATTCCGAGACTCGGGTGCCACACACGCAGAATCCGACACAATGCCACCTGCAATGGCGTTGCAGGAGGAGTTTGGGTGGCGGACTGTGTTTGGGGTAGGGAGACTGTCGGCGGCTCAGCCATGTGTTCCCAGAGGCAGCGGTGCGTGGAGGCGACACACACCGTCAGCCCTAGCTGAGGGCAAACCCCAAATACTCCTTGTGTTTACTACTCAGATCCTTTTTTTGTGTCCCAAACAGGATCCTCTGCTTTCTGGGTAAGGATTTGCTTACCCCTGTACCCTTAACTTGTAGTTATCTTAAGACGAAGAATGTTTTCATTCAATCAAGAATTTCTCCAGGCATTTAAGTTGTTCCCCGGCCACCCAACACACCTTCAAGCTTCTGCGCATAGCACAGGTACATGAAGGCCTCTTGGAAGGCAACTGTAACTACTTCTCTGCTCATGTTTCCCCAAGGAAATGTGGTCACAGTGTTGACAGAAAGAAAATAGCATTATGTTAACTATTTTTAAGTGGAGGCATGAAAACTGTCTAAAGGTGCGTATACGCTAACAGTTGGGGGAACACTTGCGTCTTTGTTTCTGAGGGTGGCTTGGCGATCCCCGTCATGTTCACCAGGCATCATAGCTTTACCACGATCAAGATTCAATAAAACACGCCTGGCTAACATTGTGATCCCGTTCCTAACAGCCTGCAGATTAAGAAATAGAAAGTTTGGGTGACAAGGAACACACATCTGACAATACCATTTTCTCGCAGGCTTGAACTTGAGGTTTCTTCTGGGTGGTTTCTGTCCTTATCTGGACTTGCCATTAGCTTTGTTGATCACATTCAGTGTTTGAAAAATCTGTAACTCTCACTTAACTGTTGTTTACACGGAAATAAACCCAAACAAAACTGAATCAGAAGTGATTTGCAACTAGTTGAATGATGCCATAGAGGGGGTCTTACAGGGGAAGTCCACAGGCGGAGGACCACATGGTTAGTCTTAGATGCCTGGCTGCAAAGGGTAGGTGTCAGAGGCCTCTTGAGTTCTGCTAGAGAGCAACACACACACACACACACACACACACACACACACACACACACGCCGCTTTTTAATTCCCTTCCTTCCCCCTTTCCCTTCCCTGTTTGCTTTTCTAGGCTCAAGAGAAAAATCCGAATCACTAAAAGCTCCAGCTTTACGTTTTCCTGGCTTCAAGTCCAGTTGTAAAGTCCCAAATACTTGATGGAGGAAGGGAGAAGTCTAGATTTTGGACTGCAAGCACAGATCCCAGTTTGTGTTGCTGCCAAGATACTGTTCTAAGGGTAAATAACTGCACTCACGTGCCTGCAAGGAAAGAGTTACTAAGTGTCACTGCCCCCACTGCTCTCCAGGCATACCAAACCATTCCAGCTCGGACTAGACCTCGATACAGGCGGTTTCTGAGAACACTACAAATAGTGTTTGGGTAAAGGGCACCCATAAGACAGGAGAGAGAAAGAAAACCAAAGTCCATTGGGAAGCTAAGGATGACAGCCCTGGACTGCTGGCCTCGGGGCCTCAGGCTTGAGGACCCCCATCTGGCTGCTTCCAGGGTTTTCCACTGGGTTCTGGGAGAAGTTAGAAGTTACAGTGCTCTGTTCCTGGATCCTGTTTCCGGCATTATGGATCTTCGGGGTTTTTTTTCCCAGACGTGTCCTAAAGGGGGCGCTAACTTGCTTCCTGGGAACCTCTGTGCCTCTGCAGGCAAAACTTCACTGCAGTCCACTGGAGTGAAGGCCTCATTTTCTGCAGATGGCCTGGGGAGAAGAAGCCTTGGTTCCCAGCCCTGGGGACTCCAAGTAGCCAGGTCTTTTTCAATCCTCTAGGGGGCAGCACTCAATAAATAATGCCCATGCCACCAAAGGCCTCTACACGTGGTGGTTTCAGCAGAGCAGGAAAAATTCAGAATCAGGCTATTCTCGTTGGCCTTTGGAAAGCTTAGAATTGCTTTCACCCAGGACTTCCAAGGATTCCAGAGCAGAGCCCAAAGTCCTACGCGTGGTACATGGCAAAGGGGTCTGCTTTAGGGAAAGTTTCCAGGCTGTGGCTGGCTCGGGCCTGTCTACGTTGTTTTTATCTAGAATGGAATTGGAGGGGTCTGCAGCCATGAGTTTGGCTTTAACCAGAGGTAAGGTGGTTGAAGAACCAGGTTCCACACTTCTCTGTGTGTGTCCACATCGCCGATTCTTGCTCATGAAAAGACCTGGATAGTTTTCTGAAACAATGGTTTTGTGAACAGAAACACTAAACTGGTCCCAAAAATAATGAAGCTGGGATTCCTGACCACATCTCTCGCTCAGTTGGGATGAGATGTTCATATCATTTTCCTTAATTGTAGAATACTAATAATCATATCCTGCGTTCCTTTGATGGAGAGGACTGGGTTGGGGGGAACATAAAGAAAATTTCTAGATGATGCTAAAAGAAAGCTGCCCTCAACTATTCCCTGTGGAAAATTAAGATATCCCTAGCTTTATAGTCCCAAGCTTGAGGGGCATTAGAATCGCAGAAGGCAGGTGTTCAAAATCCAGGTCCCTGGGCACCAGCCTCCTGCAGCTGGGATTCCCTAGGTCTGGGATGATTTCTGGGCATTGTTTTTTTTTTTTTTTTTTTTTTTTTTTTTTTTTTGGTTGTTGTTTTGTTTTTTGTTTGCCTGTTTTTTGCCCCCCCCACACACATTTTAGGTGATTCTGTTGCAAAGACCCATAGGCCAATTGAACAATAATTCTGATGTATGCCATTTACTGAACAGCCTTCAATATATCTTCTATTGAAGGATATTTGAAGAATTAGTCCCTTCATACTTCCTCTTTGAATGCTTTTCAGATGGGGTCTGATGTTTCAGATTTCTGGAGATCCCCACCAAAATCATATCCACTAAAGTGCCAGAATGGTAGGGGTCCTGGCCTTACCTTGTGACTTTGAGAAGCAGTGGGCCTAGACGACTTGGAAATCACTTAAAAGTTGACCTGGGGTGTGGGGAGAGTTGCAGCAACATGCTCAAAGGACCAGTTAGTGGGTTCCTGGAGCTGGATTCAGCCTTTTCCCTACACGACCATGGGTTGCTGCTTGCAGCCTCTTCTGGTGCGGTTTTCGGTTTGTGTTCATCAGATTGTATTAACTGCTCATAGATGCGTGACTATGTAGGGGACTTGGAAACCAGACAGGCGCGGGGTTCTGCCTCCTGGGAACACAGGATCTGAAGGCTCCAGAAGTTTCATGATTCCACAATAGACACCACCTGTCACACGGTGCTCCCTTATCGGAGGCCTCACATCGACAAGCTCTCACCCTGAAAGGGAGAGATAGGAGGCATGATTGCATCTTAATCTGTAATTTACTGCTCGGTCCCAGTTAATGTTTAGCTCCAGCTGTCTCAGAAGCGAACCTTGGGTTAAAATGTAATAGATGCTCATTTTGTATTCTCTCTCTTGTTTGACGTTGAAGTCCGGTTCTGATCAATAGGTGTCCCCCCTCCCCCCTGCATCCCTACACACACACACACACACACACACACACACACACACACACACACACACACTCAACACATTTACTTTGAAAACAATCATTTGTTTTCCTCAACAGACCTGAACACCACCTATTTGTTTCTTTTTGATACTGTATTTGGTGGGTTCCCAGAATCCTTGCAGATTTTCATGAAATCTTGAAATCTTCTCCATTCCAAATTGTGTGTGTGTGTGTGTGTGTGTCTTGGTCTGTCTTCCATAGACCTAAATCTGACTTACAGGGAACCTTGTAAATAAAAAGAAGAATAAGAAAACAACAACAAAATGCAAAATGTATTCAAACATCTCTCGGCAGGGGAAGCTCCTGAAGCCTTTCTGCTTCCTTCTCTCTCCTTGGCTCCCTCAAGAGGCAAGGGTCCCTCTGCTGTGATAATTTATATACATTTGGAGCTTTGGAACATCAAAAAGACCCAGCCCACCAACCCTTTCCTTTAAAGGAACATTTTCCAAAGCATCTACCCACCATGATGGAGAACCTATGCTTTTTATCTAGTGTTGCGTAACGGTTCCCTCTGAGATCAAAACATCCTGGCAGGGAAGTTTTTTAAACGGAAGGGAAACAACGCAAAATGACCCCAGGAAGCTCCTGAAACTGAGCAGATTCACTAGGCCCCTCCCTGCCTGAGTAAATAAAAGTACTGAGAGAGTCCTCCTAAGGCTACAAAGAAGCTGCAAAGAAGACTCTGAGATCAGACCATGTTTCTGGGAGAGGTTTAGACCAGGGTCACTTGGAAAGGACACTCTCCAACCTGTTGAGCGGCCTGCAGGCTGTGCGCTGAGCTCCAGGTTCCCAGCTCTGTGAGCTGTCACCCGTGCTGGAGTGAGCTTTGGTGATGCAGCCGACTTTGGGTCATTTCTGCTCCTGTAAGTAACCCCTCACCCACATTCCTGTAAGTAACGCCAATAAAACTCACTGGTTCACCAAGACGGACTTTGGTGGTATCCTTACTTTGCATCCCTATCTATTGTGGGGTCCCTGTCTGGGGTGAGTAGGCCTACCTGTGTGTTGCCTCTCCCCAGGAAAAGTTTTATCACACACGAATCCGCTTTTCTGTATATGAATTGTGGCTAGGATGACCAAGGGACTGGACTGTAGGTTGTGTTTCATCCTACGTATCTACATTTGATTTGTGGTTACCACCTACCATGTTGGACAGAGCAGCCTTTGATCTGGAGCTGGACATTCGCCATGGAAACCCAGCAAACTCCACACCCTTACAACTCTTGAGTCTCCCACACTTGTTGGCCAGTGGGGAATCTCAGCGTCCTGTCCTTGGAAGAGCTCTGGCTGCCAAGGCATGGTTTGAAAATGCAGGGAGGGGTCTGTTTGACCAGAGGAAGGCACAGCTCATATTGTCTAATATGTGCCCTTGCTCAGCTTTCTTAAATGGGCATTCCAGAATGTTCATGGGAAATCAGGGTTATCCTAGTACTCTGTGACTTCCTGACTGGAGCTCCAGCCCATGAAGACCCTGTGGGGAGCAGGGAGGGCAGGCAGAACCCTGGGGACCGAGCAGATCTTGGACCTGGGTGTCCTTGTGATGTCTGTTAGTCACCCACTGAATGGGGCGTTGGTTTAAGTGGCTTTTACACTTACCTGGTTTGATATTTGGTTCACAGCTCTTTCCTAATCCTATTCTCACTGTGAACTTAAAACAATTTCACAGGCTGAAATTAATATTTATCCCTAATGCAGTAATGTATGAATGGGGGTATTCCATAAGCATTATAAAGTTGAATGTCCTTGTGAATTTACAGTGTGTATGTGATTGGAGATGTTAGAGTTACAATCTCAAATATATATATGTATATATATATATAAAATCTCAAATTTATATCTCTATCTATCTATCTATCTATTTCAGGAATCTTGTTTGGAGCTAAAAGTCCTCACACTCATTAATTTCTCAGGCTAATTTTCTTGGGAGTTTGACTTCTGCATCCCTGAGAGCATGTTGCCTTTCTTCCTTTGGCGTGCAGACACACTCTATCAATCCCTTAAAGAACTGTAAGGGAGTTTTCTGGTGTTGTTGTTGTTTGGTATTGCTGTTTTCAAATTTGTAACCTGTGACTTCTGGTGCCTTAATTAGGCATCTACATGTCAGGTGGTTGTTACATTATGGTGGCAAAAGCTGCTAATTTGAGCATGAAAGTCATGATGGACCGGCAGGAGACAGGGGGTTGACCTTTCGCTATGGAGGGTACTCCAGGGTGGGTTAATTCACACCCACCACAGTCATTAGTTCTCACTCTCCTCCTTCATATTTACTCCTACACAGTTTACTGAACTGCCAATCAACCCTTAGTGTCGGATGAGCGCACTGGCAGGGAGGGCCTTGGAACAGGCTGCCTT